ATGATAGTGGCTTTTGGTAGTCCTAACTTCTAAGAATATCTTCTCAAGAGGCCACCCCAGCTGACTGTGTATGTAGAGTACCGGCCGGTAGTTAGGGCTTCGGTATCAAAAAGTGCCGGAGCCCGCTCTCTTGCTTCTGCTGGTCAGTGGGAAGAAGTCTCTTCGTGACCAGGAGGCTAGATGTACGGATCTAAAAAAAAACAAGCAATTGTCGGCCGAATATCGACGACGATAGCCGATATCCATCACGGGGTACCCCGTGGTTTCGTTCCCCATGAAAATGGCGGGTCGCGATCGTTCAACGAGTCCAGAGAGGTTAGGCCTGGGGAAAACTCAAATAAAGATTTCCAGATCTTGCCCCTATAGTGCCATATTAGAGGAGTCGTATGATCCAATTGATTGATCGTGGGGTAGGAAAAAGGAAGCTATAAACAATAATGCAATTTAATCGGGGGAAGCTTAACTCGATGAAAACCCGCTGTTGAGATCCACCTGCGTCCGTCCACCAGAGTTTCGAGTGACCGAGTGGGGGGAATTGAAGCTTCGAAGCGAAAATCTTGAAACGTTTCTTTTTCACTACAGCTCAGGTCACAGGGGGAAATTTGGAATTACATACAAGGAAACCTCACAGCATCGTGAAAGTCAGTGTCCTCATCGGCCACTCACTCATTCGCGTGGGGCACCAGGTCGCGGCGGTGATATCACGTGGAGTCGTAAGCTGTAACAACTGCAAGTCTGCAACCGTGGCTGGCGTGGCGTCCTTTGTTTTTGCGGGGAAAATGTTAAGGGTCCCCCCCACTCAATCACTTCCTTCTCCTCCTCCACGACGAATTAGACCAGGTACGAGAGGAAGTTTGATGTGTGTGACCGTTGAAACGGTATGTGACTGGATGGTTATTTTTCCGTGGAAGAAGAGGTACGTACCGAGTGCTGAGAAGAGGTGAGCTTTCGGGTATGTATCCTGAATGCGACCGGAAAAAAGCAAATTCTGTGATGTTCGACGTTAATGAGAGGAAAAAGGAACCTGTTTTTTTCGAAAAAAAATACGTCGTAGATTACCCAATTGCAATGGTTACTCGGGAATGGCCGAATCCCATCGTTCACTTCCTAGGTTAGGGCTATCCACTCTAGAATAGGCACTCTAGCTACTCGCAATTGTTCAATCGATACCTGTCCTCAAAAGCAATTGTTCTTGACTGACGTATTGGCTTTTTCTTTTCTTTTCTTTTGTCACTCGGTACTCGAAATCACCGTTTTTCGTAAAACTCAGTAATCATCGTGCACCAGGGCTGGAGGTTAGAGTAGTTAGTCTCCAAAATAAAAGCAATTGATTGACGTAGATATTGCGTTTAATTGTCACGATCACTACAAAAAATCACTACTCTTTCTATGTACCCCGCTCGTAGCCCGCAGTTTTTTCCTAATAATTATGATCATCGAGGTATACTACGATTGTGCTTTTAGGGCGCACATTCGGATTCTGTTTTCCATCCAATGGGTTACTGTATTGGAGGCTGTGGCAGCGTTAAACTAAGAGATGTTATACAGAGAGGCGTCTGTTGTGTAATATCACGCATAGTACAATTAATTGATTTGATGATTGATAAATAGATAATCTAATCTTTCATCGTCCAGACCACTGCATAGATCAGCTCCCGACCAAAGCACCTAGCTACGAGTGCCTACCCATAGCTATAGTAGGTAGATCTATAGCTACGGAGTAGTAATCCAGACCATCGAGACCCAGCCCAGGTATGCGGGCCCGGCTGAGTGATAAATTGTCAGGAACCAGACTGATAAGTACCGGCATCTGAAACTATACTTTAGTAGTTACGATTTAAACAATAGTGGCTTGAGCTTGCATTGGGATGAGGTAAATTTTCAGCTTCTGAGCAGGCATAGGGTATGTTTTCTCGGCCAACGCACGCGTTGTTTTTGAAATGGTGAGCTAGATAGTAGTTAGCAGAAACATTCAATGTATGTATAGAAGAAATTCGAAGTTCTTTGCAAACACGTCGTCAGGGTTTACATGCTTATCTGCTGGGAGGATATGTATGCACTATCACGGTACTGTACTGTACATACCCATAGATTACTTGGCAGCTGCTCATGCTCAATATGCTTTATTCCTGCCTTATCATCTATCATACTTTAAACCACATGCGCCGGAAAAAACATTATCCACTCTAGGAAACCGCATTGCCGGAATACTGTGAATTTGACCCCTTATGTAGATATCTTGTTTGGAAACACGTGCATTCTGCAGACAGTTATATTTATAACTGGTAGATGTCTATGTCCTGATAAGTAGACGCATTTTGATGGCTACATCGAAAACCTTGCGGCGACATCGAATTGAGCCCGCATCCAGCCGTTGAAATAAGCAATGGATATGGACGAGGAAAGGCATGCTTACATTACGTGCTTATGTTGTGTACCTACAACATATCAGTGAACGCATGTACCACCAGGGCACAGTGCGAAAAATTATGATCGCCCTCGCCGAACGTTGGGAAATTTTGATCAGCCTTCGCTCAGTAGATTCCTATAAGCGTTTCCGGATCTAATTCTCATTGCAAATACAACCATTGGGAATTAGCGAGTACGAGGGGGGTAAAGAGGGGGTTGATGTCGAGTATGTACTACTTGTCTAACCCGAAAATCTATCTATATCACTCCTCGCCGCCGTGGCTTGAAGAAAATTTCGGCTGTCCGGGCATTTTCTATAATCGTGACCAAATAATAGTTTCTCTTTCTCTCTCTCATGGATTAATCCGTTGCTCCGTGTTCGACAAGGGCCAGGAAGGTATGTATATGCAAGTATTGGGGTTCAGAATTCTGGAAAAGAAACAACCAGAAGTCATTCGTACGTGGAACCAAATTTCCACTGGACGGCTATATTTTTTTCTCCAAAGAGGAATTGGAGGTTCCCGCCAATGATATCCATTGAATAGGCTCGAGTGACCATATTGAAACTAGTCGGTATGCCGTCAGTTGGATTGAGTCGTCCAAATATTCGGGATTCCACGCGAAAGAACACTTAAGTCAAGTGCATTCGCTAAGATCAGCTGTACGTGAGAGGTCGAAGTCATTGATGCACTGCATGCAGGTACGTAAAAATGCAAAGACGGGAAGAGAGGGATTGTTTCATCCGGATTAATTGGAGCAGAAAGTCGCTCAGTTGAAAAAGTTCTTCCCGGTTTTCAATGAGGCACCTTTCTTTTGTTTTTCTGGTATCCTGGTTTATAAACATGTGCATATATCCCAAAAGGTAAACGAATATGCTGTTGATAGAAAATGCTATTCTTCCCTGCATCTCCGACAAGACGGGCAAGAAAAAGCCATCTCTCCTGGTAGTCGGATTTGGTGAATCCTTCGCGAAATAAATTGCGCCTCATCTTAACATAATCCCGGTTCAATAAATACCCGCAGGCACATACTCTACCTACTGATACCAGCCGCGACGAACGGACCAGCGGAGCTTAGATAAGTAAACTGTCGGATCAATTGAGACATGATACTCAGAGATAATGATTGTGTTGACTCCTCGGGGGTATTGAGTCCGATATACATCTCAGAATTCGGAGATCAATTGAAAACACCTTCCGTCCATTAGGGGCGGGTTTACATGCTGTGCAGTGACCTTTGAAAGGAAACGGTCCCCCACATTTCGCTTGAGCTGCATCGCAGGCGTCAAAGTCAAAATCATCAAAAAGAAATTAAGGCCACAAAGATCGCGCGGGGTCCACCAGCAGACCACCTTAATCAAAATGATCGCCCTCACCCCGCGGAACTCTAGACATAGTTAAGTTTCAATCTGCACTGTTCTCATCTGGCTGCTGAAAAGTGATAAACTATCTCCTCATTGCGTGCCGTCAATGCATGAATCTTATGCGGGTTTATCAAAACATCTAGAATCCTCGTGGCTTAGATTTTGGGTTTATGGGTCTGTTCTCAGCCTGATCCGTTGATATTGAGACACCAGAGCTTCCAAAAGCAGGTGAAAATTCAATTTAAACATTGGTCAAGGGCTGGTGTTGTGTAAATTCGATCCATTTCAGCGCGGGGTTTGGCCGCTTCCGGTCTTGAGTTTGAAAGAGGTGCTCGCAAACCCTTTGTCTGTACATCGGATGGCATGAGCCTCAACTCCCGTAAATCTTTAATATAGAGGAAAAAGAACACTGTGGATATACATACCTTCACGTTTCAGCTGGGGATAGGGTAAAGGGTGGCAATTGTGGCCTGAGAATATTCGACCCAGCAGCATCTTGCTGACCTATATTGCGAGAGAAAATCCAAGATCTCGCTCCTGGAGGAGAGTAGACTCACAAGTTGTGATGATTGATTAAGATCTGCCTGACATATTTTTAGGTCTGTAGAAAGGGGTTTGTGTAAGATAGTAATGGGCCTTGATATAGTCATGAACTTGGGGTCGTACTGTGAAAGGATCCGTGATGGGGTGAGATGGGCTGATAGCTAGATTGATCTGACCTTCAGCTGAAGAGAACGTAAACCTGATTGGTTTGTCACTAGCCACCCTTTAATTTCTAGCGCCTCCTAGGGGCCACATGCGGAACATTAGGAAGTAACACACACAATCTCTCACTAGAACGTCCTCTGGGGTACACTGTAGAAGCAACTGTAGGGTCTTAGTATATAAGATACACACAAGTATATGAAGCCTTTTTCATCCATATTGAGTATCCCAGTCAAACTCCAAGTTCGATTTGAAGACGCAAACGCTTACAGTATGTACCCGGAGGTCTCATGAGTGACATTTTCAGCCACACCTCATTTCGAGATTTATCTATAAATCGATAAAGCGAGATAATGCCTATTAATATAGACCTGAGGTGATCATCTCATACCCCCAATCCTTACTTGCCCATATTCACAGATTATCACTCGGTAATATACCGCGGGTTTAACCACAACCAATCACTTTCTATCAGACATCAATTTACGCAAATATGTTTCTACAGCGCCATTGGTGAGAACCATTAGAAAAAGTCATCAAAGCTCTTATCTGCATCTTTCTCGATGAGCTCTAACATCCCCTATCCACCCAATTAGCTCAACCCAAGCAGAGCCCGTATTCACATATACATACCTCAGGCATAACCGGCTCCCCATCCTCGCCCCTGACATATCTAAATGGCATCTGCGTAGCCTCATTCTTGTTGAGTTTCAGCTCGGGGTAGTCCGAATATGGGATTTCGTCAAGAGGGACTGTGTTGCGTAAGTATGTATATGGGAAATGGAAGGGAACGGAGGTCGGAGGTCGGGGATTGGGGGTTACTTTGATTCTCGATAACTATGCGAGTAACACGCACTGCGGTGTCGGTAGTCATTTGCAGACTTCCGAGGCGCCGACCTTCGTATCCAAGCTTACGAAGTTCTCCGGTGCGATCTGGGAGAGATTTGTTTTAGCATCGATAATGGGAAAAGGGGGGGGGGGGGATACGGTACCTCTTGGTGGATCGTCGCCTAATCCGTAGAAGTGGTTTGTTAGCTTACTCGCAGTTCATCACGGCACATCCAACAACTTCATTCCCCAAGATTCCCATCACCCCCCCCCCCCCCCCCCAAACACTCCCATGACATAGAAAATCTACCGACCCAAAATTCCCCCGAAGACAAACCAATCAAACACCTCAGCATCTCCCGGTGACAACTCCTTCTCCGCGCGCGGATCCAACAAACACACTCTGTCTCTCTCCCCGCTTGACACCTTGGTAACCTCCTCCTCCGTCACCTTCAGCGGCGCACCCACGTACGGCTTCAGCGCCTCTGGGAGGTTCGAAACAAGGGATGCTGGAACAGAGGTGAGGTAGAAGTCACTACCGGACGCGGCAGACTCGCGGGAGATGATGGCATACTCGAGGGTGGACCAAGCTCCCATCTCGGGTTCCATATCTGTCAGGTACGTCAGCGCTTGACGGGTAGGCTAGCTGGGGCGGGGGGGGGGGGGGGTTACGTTCTACGACATAAGTTTTCTTTTTACCGGCTGTTGATGGGGACATGGTGAGCTATGTACAGGCGAGCTAGGTGTTACCGCCGGAGAATTTGGAGGATCTTATCTGGTGCGCGGGGGAGAAGGTAAGTACAACTCTTTTTCGATCTCCTTGTACCTATCATTCGCTTCATGGAACTGTAACGCAAGAATAATAGCACTGCCCCCTCATGGTAGCTAACTACATAAATGAGAGCGAGGGAAATTCATTCTTAGAGTCGCCACTTATTGAGTGAATTCTTCCAAAAGGTGCCTGCAAGCTGGTCATAACGCCAGTGCAGAATGCGGGAAAAAGGCCGACAGACCGATAGCGGGAACACTGCGACAGCAGCAGGAAGAGGGCACGATAAGATGATGCATAGAGGGAGCACGGTTTGCTTACTTACTTTGATTGAGAGAATTAACGTTAAACCCCGTAGTACTCAGAAGGAAGAATTTTGACGACAGTGCGACGATGGTGGGGCAACAAGTGTGATGTTTGGAGGGGTAACTCAAGTTAGCGTGGCTGTCAAGTGACCCGCCGCCGGAAGGACTACATTTCGTAGTACATACGAGCAAAACAAAAAAAGCTAGCACGTCAGGACCAATGATTTTTCTGGAACAACGGAAAATTTGACTCTGGTGCAATAGCTATAAATATTCCGGGTCCGTTCGGTGTTGATTGGCCACTTGAACCTACTTTACTATCCCCGGCCGCCAATGTATGCACTCAAATATTATACGTACTTATTCTACCGACATCAACATCTTCCCTAATACCCACGTGTGGTTCTCGTTCCGATTCTGCCAATTACTGTAAAACAAACCTGGACCGGAAGTTTCTAATGCCAAAAAAAGGAAAGAAAGACCTCATCCCATCGACCGTATCACGTGATGTGTGGAACGAACGCTCATCTGATCCCGAAACACTTTTTTCCTTTCTCGGGAACGCACATCAAAATAACTCTGGATCTACCGTGGTTGAGGGTCTCAAGGGGATGAAACTTGAACGGGTAACAATCCGTAGACTTGCACATGGGATTCGGCATGGAATGAGGAAAACCTTAATTCTACGCTATGTCTCTCTAGTTGGTGGTGATGATGAGTATAAAGCGATGGTTACTACCATTCGTGTATCAATAGGATCGATACATTGTAAGTATGCCTGAGACCGGTATATCATACATGATGCTACTTTGTCTTGACATTGAAAGTGGGTGGATTTGCTGCGCCATCATTCGGAAGGGCGTGGGTGCTAACATGCTTATAGACTGTAGCACTCCAACATCAAGAAAGGCATTAACTGTAGTCATTAAGAACAGCAGTTGAGACATCTACCTATTCCCGATGGGTAGTTAGAGTAACTTACTTAAGTTATAACAGGATCTATCTATGCTCGTACGAGTGTCAGGCTACGAACATGCTAGTACTGGTGATCCGACATTACCGTTGTATCATGTAGACTCATCGGAAACCTACTTGAGATATTTCCGTAGACCCTTAAGCTCGTATGAGAGTCAGGTCATAGTGATGTTGGGTCTATGTCATGGAGGTCACGAGAATCATAATATATCACTCGGCTCCTAATACCCCGAGAACCCACCAAAAGATCTTTTTTTGATGGAAAGATGATTTATGGTATTCATGAAATCAGAAGAATCTCTCCGATAGTAATACTAGGAATGAGAAAATGCAATACTACAGAACTAATAGGAAATCTTCAAAGCCCCAGCTCTCCGTTCAATTGTATCTATGAGATTGTGAATATAGTGTGTAATATATATATGTATATTAATTTTTTCTCAAATTCAGATCGAATACACCAAGTAGAGCAAATAAAGGTTAGCGGTATCGACCGGCCAGGTTAATGGTTCAGGAACGAGCCACATAACCAGAAGCCGATGGACGTAAGGGTAAAACAAGCCATAGTAGTGTGAATTAAGTTGAAGGAGAGTTGATGTGATATTGCTACAAGAAACATTGATTTGTTCACAAATCTAACCTGCGATCTTCTCAGTTTATACAAAACCAAACAACGCGTGAATCTCTAGACTTATACTTACAGCCATGATTTCTATTATTTCATATGTAAATTTATATGTGAAGCTACATGTACTTATGTTGCTACTGTCGAATCAATCAATCAAATCAATCAAATCAACCTAGGTATAGCATTTGTGAACCGAGTGAGAATCCATGAATGAACCAGTCAAGGCTTCGTCTGCATTTGTGTACATGTAGACAATGTTAAATCTGACATAGACTACTCGATAATAGTCTGTACTACATCGGAGGGAATCACGTTTAGCATACGATGTGCCTATTATCCCATACACACCATCAAATAACCTGGCCTAGCCCTCTGGGTACAGAAAAAATCATCCACCAATGCTTAAGCACAAGTTATCACTCACTATCTGTTTCCAAACTTCAGAAAGATATCTCGGCATATGGAAACAACGGTTCGAACCCTTCGGCCCTTTCCGTGTCAGCCGACAGTATTGATGTGGCGTGGATATATCAAGCTTTGTGTATCGATAGACGGTATTTTCCGTTTATTGTTGTCTCTGCCCGTCCTCGTCGAAGCTGTATGTATATCTGCCGGCCCCAGGAAGGTGGCTCAATTAGCTCGGTTTACGATGTGGATACGTATACTGCTTCTGTCTATATAAGGACGGCTTGAGACATTTTTGAATTACCTTACTACCTCCTTTCTTCGCTTTTGTATTCTAAACTATGTATACCAACGGAATAACTTGCAGTACCGACTTGTGCAATTGGCTTTCGGCGTTATTTTCAGTACTCTCATGCTCATGGTCGACAGAGGTATTGGATTGCGGGAATGGGAATTAGAAATATAGGTTAGTTAATGGACGTATAGGCGGGTGTGGATACGGAATTTCTCCCCTCTAATGACGCTGAGAGCAAGAAAAATACGTATCTCTTGGCTCTGGGGATCGAAGAAGGTTGAGGAGTGTGTAGGCACAGAAGAACATTTATTACGATTAGCAACGAGGACCGCGAGTTTTACCTCTTTATTTCTTCTCAATTAGTACTATGGACCAATTTGACCCTAGCGAGCATAGCATCTTGGGCTACGTAGCGTGTATTTAGAATTTGTATAAGGGAACTATTACTTCAACAGCGCATAACGCCCACTGAAGAGTTATTGTCTACGTTAACGATAAAAGGAAAACTTCGAATTTTCAAGCAACCTATGTATCCTACAAAAGAGAGAAAAAGAACGGCAAAACAACCAGAAAAACAAAACGCACAAAGTATACTTACTACCTATCTACAACTTCGCTTTTACTGGTGCCTCCTTCTTGGCCATCTCCGCTGCCACCACTCTCCTCTGGATCTTCCCCGTCGCCGTCTTGGGCATGTTATCCACAAACCATATCTTCACCGGGACCTTGAATTTACTCAACTTCTCACCCACGAACTTCTTCAACTCCTCCTCGGTAACCTTCTTGCCCTCCTTCAACACAATCGCCGCACCAACCTCCTGCCCATACATCTCACTCTCCATGGCGAAGGAGACCGCTTCGCCGACAGAAGAATGTGCCGCAAGCGCGTTATCGACCTCAATCGGCGAGATCTTCTCACCTCCGCGGTTGATGAGCTCCTTAATGCGCCCTGTGATCTGTACATAGCCATCCTCGTCCTTGCGACCTTGGTCACCGGTACGGAAGTAGCCTGATGCCGTGAAGGATTCAGCGTTGGCCTTCGGGTTGTTGATGTACCCCTTTGTGACGTTGACACCGCGGATAGAGATCTCGCCCTCCTTACCCTGCGGGACCTTGTTACCGTTGTCGTCGAGGATAGCAACGTCGACGCCCTGGCCGAGACCAACAGTGCCAGGCTTGCGCGCGGCTGGAGGAAGAGGGTTCGAAGTCATTTGGTGGGCTGCTTCAGTCATTGCGTAGGCCTCGAGCACGGGAGCCTTGAGGGCTGCCTCGAGCGCGTGGAATGTAGTAGGAGAGAGTGGGGAGGAGCAGGAGCGGATGAAGCGGATTTTGGGGATTGGGTTTGGAAGCGGGGACTTGAGGAGAATTTGGTGAATTGTTGGCACGGCAGTGTACCATGTTGCGCCGTGCGTGATGAAGTCGTGCCAGAACTCTTTGGCAGAGAACTTTGGTGGGACGATGACGGTTCCCCCGGAGAGGAGGGGGGCGAGGAAGCCAGCGAGGAGACCGTGAACGTGGAAGAGAGGCATCACGAGGTAGGTGCGGTCTGCGGGCGACAGCTGGTAGGTGGCCTTGATGTTGCCTGTGGAGAGCTGTGTTAGTGGGGGGTAATGATCATGTGGTAGGAATTAAGGAGGAAATGATTATTTGGTAGGGATTCAAGTAGCGCTACGAGACATGCTAACCGCAAAAGGCCAGCCAATTATTAGGAGAATGAGGGGCGAACATACTCATTGTTCTTGTCAAGTTCCTGTGCGTCAACGGTACAGCTTTGGGTCTCCCCGTAGTACCGCTGGTATGCAAAACCAACGCCACATCCTCCTCCTCCGCCTTGGCTACCGGGACTGCACCCTTCAATGAACCCTTCTCCTTCACCACCAACACAACCTCGCCCTTCCCGGCGTCCCACGCAACCTCCGCCACCGCAGCGCCAAACTTTCTAGCAGCTTTGACAGCAGGCGCATCTGTAGCCACAGCGCCAGCAGGAACAATGATCAGCGCGCTCTTGAGGTCATCGATATAGAACTCAAACTCGGACTGTTTGTAGTTTGGGTTCAACGGCGCCGCGATGGCGCGCTGGGCCGCAATGGCAAGGAAGGAGACGATGAATTCGAGGTTATTTGGCAGCGCGATTGAGACGGCAGAGTGTGGGGCGATACCGATTGACGCGAGGGTGCGCTGGAAGGCACTGGTCTGCTGGTATAGCTGCGCAAAGGAGAGGGTTAGTGGAGAGCGTCCGGGGATTATGACTGCTGGTGTTGTCGAGGCCGGGCAGAAGGAGGTGGACAGCGTAGTTGCTGAGGTGGTGATTGTGGGGTGGACCATTTTGGAGGTATTATTA